GAACTGTTACAGTAATTCCTCAAACTGTCATGGCAATCCTACGAATTGTCACAATAATCCCTCGGACTAAAACATATTTTTCCAACAGACTCACTAATCCAACACTCTAGTGCACGTAAATCCCACGAACTACCATACATTTCCCCACTGATGACAAATAATCTCGTCAGGTATGACACATTAATCCAGCAGTGTTTATTCTCGGCTTACATCAACCATCCCGCATATTATAAGATAATCGTGAACTGAATTATCATCTAAACAGTGCATAAACAGTGTGCCTCTAAACTAGCAAATGACAGGTTGCAAAAACCAGAACTATTTTTTAAAGTTAGTCTCTTCGGTGCTTGCATTTATCTTAATTTTATTGTATACCTTATAGTACATAACACTTTCGGCTAGTTCCTAGTTTCTGAGAATGTGGGTCTGATTTCACATTCTATTCTTTGAAGAAATAAAGAATGAGGCCACGAAGAATTGGGTAGGTCAGAGTAGATTTGATTTATACAGTTGAATTTATAGCTCATTTCAAAGTCCAGCACTATTTAAGGTATACTACCATCCTCTGGGACGGTAGTCTTTTTCTGTGGAACACAGAGGTTTTCACGATACTGGAGACAGAACAAGTGGAGATTGAATTTTAAGGTGATCAGTCCCTTAGTCTTGATGGAAGTGTTCGGACGAAGAGACTGGCCATCTTCTCATCACATCAGAATTCCGGCCACGGTATTGTGCCTTTTTGTTCCATATCTACTGTTTCTACTGTCATGAACTTCATTGATTCTCCAGGTAATTTTCTTCAGCTTGTCAGGAAAGAGAAAGAAAAGGCTCGTGGTTCAAGACGGGACTAAGAAAACATGGTTCTTGACACTGAGACAGTTGCACTGAAACCTAAATTGAGAGAGAAAAGATACTGCAGCTCAGGGTGCAATGCAATGAGCATCAATTCCTGAGGAATCTATTGAAAAGCTTGTATTCTGAAGGTTACCGACGATGCTTTTGAATAATAAAGGCGAAGAAGAGCTTCTTGAGGGCTTCTGAAGGAGTGCTCTGAAGAAAGTAGGTACGGGAAGACCTGAAGGCTCTTAGCGATGTGCTCTCTAGACTGCAGACTAAGAAATGCTTCCGCAGCAACCCCTGACGGCTCGTTCTGAACACTCAGGTAAAAAAAAAAATGCTTTTGAGGACAAGTTATGAAGCTTGTTGGTGAAGAGCTTCCTGGAAGGTCAGCACGACGTGTTTTCAAGACCATAGACGAGGAAATCTTTCTAACAGGCTTTTGGTGGTGTGTTCTCATGACTGCAGACGAGGCAGTGCTGCCTCGTGACTTTAGGCTACGCATATTTAACCTCAGCGTATCTTAACCTCAGCGTATCTTAACCTCAGCGTATCTTAACCTCAGAGTATCTTAACCTCAGAATATCTTAACCTCAGCGTATCTTAACCTCAGCGTATTCCCCTTAACCTCAGCGTATCTTAACCTCAGCGTATCTTAACCTCAGCGTATCTTAACCTCAGCGTATCTTAACCTCAGAGTATCTTAACCTCAGCGTATCTTAACCTCAGCGTATCTTAACCTCAGCGTATCTTAACCTCAGCGTATCTTAACCTCAGCGTATCTTAACCTCAGAGTATCTTAACCTCAGAGTATCTTAACCTCAGAGTATCTTAACCTCAGAGTTATTCTTAACCTCAGCGTATCTTAACTCAGGTTTTCCTTCTCAACCTCAGCGTATCTTAACCTCAGCGTATCTTAACCTCAGCGTATCTTAACCTCAGCGTATCTTAACCTCAGCGTATCTTAACCTCAGAGTATCTTAACCTCAGAGTATCTTAACCTCAGCGTATCTTAACCTCAGCGTATCTTAACCTCAGCGTATCTTTAACCTCTGCGTATCTTAACCTCGGCGTATCTTGGCCTCCGCGTATCAACTTCTACGTGTCCTTAACCATCGCGTATCTCAAGCTGCATTGTTGTCCTTGATTAAATTTAAGTAAAGAGCACTCCAGTAGTCAGTACAATAACAGTTTTTAAGATTAAATTTAGAGAACTCCAGGATCCTCTCTACAGCTTATATATCTCTAATAGGATCAGGATCTCAACTATCTCAACTGATCTTAGTATAAGATCATGGACGGTATACAGTACCGACGAGCTCTAGAATAAGATGCATGTGCAACATTTGGTATCTTTAAGGCCGAAACATTTCGCCTGCACAGCAGGCTTCATTGGTCGAATACAGACGAATGTAACAGAGGAGACAGAAGAAGCAATTTTGCGGTAATCAGTCCCCTTAGCGTTAATAGGAGGTAGTCAGACAGAATAAAATCACTATTCTTATTGTCTCGAGTAATACATTCGACTGACGCAACCTGCTACGCAGGCGACACTTTTTTGGCAATAAGGATACACATACGTTGTTCATGTGTCTTATTAATTTTCACTATCCTCATTGTGTTTACTACCAAGACTGAACTATTTTCCACTAGAGATTATATACCTCCCAGAGCACCAGCAACTGAACACCTTCTGTAGTACACACATTTTTCAGTGAATTTCACTCTCCATTACTAGATGTAGAATTACGAGCATGAGACTCGACCTGCTGTTACTTTTAACTTAAGCTCTCTGTAGTAAGAGTTAGCTAAATTATTTAATATTAGTAGTATCATTTATTATTATTATCATTATCACCATCATTGTTATATTATTATGATTATTATTATGTAGAAGCTCTAAACCAGTTGGGATCATACAGCGTTTGTGGAACGGGAGGTAATTGGCTTTGATCCGGGGAAGAAGATAGATGCTTCAGTTCCTTCGACCGCGAGCCCTTCATTAGCATTAAGTTACCCAGGTACCTATTTACTACGTAAATACTACTGTAAATGAGACTAAAATCCAGGTACCTATTTACTACTATATGAACATGGACTGAGGGTGTTAGGAGACTAGCATCCAGATACCTATTTGTTGCAAGGTGAAGCTTGACGTAGAGCGTTGGGAAGCCTGCCCATACGTCTTTCCCTGCCTGGGGATCGAAGCCGAGATCAATCAGTTGTAGCATAACGCTCTGTTTACCGCACTATGCTCCTGCTAACTGCATTATTTATTAGTTAGCTGCCGTGTTTACGAGAAAGCAGCCCTGTTCCAGAGCTGACTTACCTTGTTTAAGAAGTAATTTCTTAGTTTAAAACCCTTATACCTTGTCTAAGATCTAGCTCTTATATTTAAAAGCTATCTGCCTTGTCTAAGAGCTAACCTCCTTGTATAAAAGCTAGGTTCTTTGTCTAAGAGTTAGCCTCCTTGTCTAAGAGCCAGTTTCCTTGTCTAAGAGGTACTCTCCTTGTCTAAGAGCTAACTCCTTGTATAAGAGCTAGGTTCTTTGTCTAAGAGTTAGCCTCCTTGTCTAAGAGCCAGTTTCCTTGTCTAAGAGGTACTCTCCTTGTCTAAGAGTTATCTATTTCATTGAAAAACTTTGTGAGTTGCATAAGAACTAGCCTCCTTGCTTAAGAGTTAACAGTATTATCTAAGCGCTAGTTGCCCCGTTAAATAGCCAGTACTTGTCTTGTTTAAGAGTAAACTGCCTTGTTCACTAGCTAGTTGCATTACTTTTGAGGCAGCCATCGTGTTTAGGAGCTGGTTGCATTGCTTAACGTTACACATTAAAGTTGTTAAACACACATAACTGTCAGAACGTTTGGGTATCAAGAAACAATATACACAACAAGCATTTAATGAGACAACGTTTCGCCCAGGCTTGCTAAAGCTCAAGCTCCAATCTGATAGAAAAGTAGGTCTAGTAAAAGCCTATTCCGCTTATTGGCTATGTGCCTAAACTTACAGGCACTGCGCCTATGCATCGTGTAAGAATGTTGCTAGACAGAAGCACTTCGCCTTACAAGGAAGCAGTGAGGAGTCACGAGGAAGCTGCAATGCGGAGACTTGAGATTAATACGGCTAATGAAGGCTTAATTGCACACGGTGCCAGCGTTTGTAATTATATCTCGACTCCGTTTATAATGGTAAATGTCTAATTACTACCCTGGTTCCATTTAACGGATTACCTAACAGCAATTTATACAAACGATATCTCGTGGGGCTTTAATTACGGATGGCTTGAAAGGTAGCAGGATGCCGAGAGGTATAGCAGAGAAAATCTTTTCTGTCAAGGGTGAACTGGGTATGTAATGGGTCAGGAGTCACAGATTTGGTTACATGGAATTTTGATATTTCGCCACTGTGTGGGCAGAACGTCATCAATGTAAGCTTTCCATAACTGTATTTGTGTTTTTTACCACAGGTAGGCAGCGAGAAAGTTTATATCTGGACAAAATATACAAATAAACGCTTGCTCTTAATCATCAGCGCAATAAACGCTAAGTTTTAATGCTGAATCTTTTTGCGTATGCTGCTGGCATATTTCTTCTTTTCAAAAAACAGTGAAACATTAGTTTACGATTCGCATTAGTTCATACGTCATGAATATTGGCAAAAAATGGAGGCACGATGCGTTATTAGTCAATTAATCCAACGTAGTTAATTGCAACTTCCACGAAGGTCACATTCGCTCTTCGCTTTTCATTTATGTCTGGTTTTACAGCCATTTGATGACCATCTGCCGTAGGTCGAGAGTAAGAGAGAAGTAAATAATTTTTATAAGCTTCAGACTTATTAAAACATGAAGTAATCTGCTTCTCCTGCCTTTCCTACATGGTTGCCTCTATTAAAAAAAATATCGATCAGAGATGAATGTTTAACTTGTTATTAATGAATGAGACACATGTACAACGCTTAGTATCTAAGCATTTCGCCTATGCAGGTTTCTTAAGTCAAATACAGGCGAATATAAAACAGGAATCAGTAGGAATAGTGAAATGATCTGTCCCTTAGCCTTGGTAGGAGGTGGTCGGTCCCTTATGCTTGAACGCATATCCCAGCTGATATCACTACAAGCAGTGTGACGTCTAATAACCAGAGACAGAGTCTTGACACCTACCTGAGTCCTCAACGAAGGAAGCCACAAGGATGGCGTCTAGCAGTACGATTGTTAGGGATTTCATCTTGTGTTCGACCAATCTGGGTCACCTCACAACAGATGAACTTCGCCTACATGATCTTTAACAATTCTCTGCGACTCCAAATCATTCCCACCAGTAAACGAAAGAATCCATTTTATGATTTCACTTATTTCCCTCCCCCCCACTAACTCACAGAATAATGCACATATATTATTTTTGGAGAAATGATTGCTATTTGCTTATATGGGAGAGAGAGGATCTGGCAAGACTGACACTGTTGCAACACTGAGTATCACTGGAACGAGCAGCAAGAAGCTCAACTCAACACATCCCAACTAGCCGGGATCGTAGCGGACACTGGCGGGCCGCTCTCCGTCAGCCCGGGACACGACACCGGCCTCCATGGAGCAGGCAGGCAGGCAAGCAGACAGGCAGCAGGCAGCAAGCAGGCGCACAGAGCAGGTCATCATACAGGTGAGAACGCAACACTGACTCATCTATCACTTGACTCACCCACTACAGAGACAAGTACTTCCACGAAATCTTGTTACACTTCTTCTATCATACAGGTGATATATTCTTGGTAAGTTAACTTAATATTACCTTCCACGACTGCGACAAAATTACGGTACTTTTGTAGGTAAGATTTCCTAGTTGACTAGTTCTCTAGCACGCAGGTGAGACCTCCAGGTAACTTACCTCACCCTCATCAGATAAGAACGACAGAATAGATGAAGAAATTATTACATACGACAGCTCGTACAGCTTTGCGAAGGTAAATCATGACCCGCAGACCTACTGAGCACTATTTGTATCTTAATTTTAGCGGAGAAGTGAATTTTTCTATAAATGTTTGAAACTCCTTAAAAAACGTGAACATATTGAAAAAATCAAGGATTTTAATTTCCTGTAAGATCAAGGTTAGAGAGGAAATGAAGGAATGAAAGGGATGGACTCCATTTTATTAAACTGTAGGAAGGTATAACACTGTTACCAACACGAAAATAGGTTACAAGCTGGGAGAAACGACAGGAACAACGAAAAATGCACGTTGCCAGATTAAGAAATGCCCGACTCGAAGGAGACAGAAAGTGATGGCCCAGAAAAAGGAATGGGAATGGGGGAGCGTGATGACTAACATCACACATGGTTCCAAAATATTATTTTTATATTTAAAAACTTTCCTGATGACATAGTCCTACATCTCTGTGGTCGATGGAGAGATAATGATGATGTCAGATGCTGGAGAATATAGGATAAGGCTACAGGAGGACTGGGACAATCCTCAGGTACAGTAAGAAAGGATTGCGTGTCTGATCCAGTAGATGCTAGATAATAAAACTGGTGATAAAGACAGAAGACCAAATTCGAAAATCACTTCGAACAAATTCCTAAACGTCAGAAAGGAATGATCCTAGTAAAAGATACACCAGCAATACAAGGCATATCCAGGGAATGATCGTCAGATACTATTACAGGCAATACAGGCATTTACAAGGCATATTTACCTAAGAGAATCCTTGCGAACAAGTACAACTTTTTGAGAATCGACTGGGAAAAGAAGAATGATGAATAAAGATTGGAATGAATCAAGTGCTATAAGGTACGTCTCAATCTGAAAAACCTGACAGTAACAGTAGAAGATTAGCAGGGTTTAACGAGTAGAGTGATAGAGGCTTCAATACAATCTGCACCGATCAAAGCACCACTCAATGAAGGAAAATCAGGGAATATATTTCAAAAAATGCTAACCCTTGTCGGATTTTGCGAATGATAATCTAACATAGAATACACACAGCAGTACTCACCAGGTGAGGCCTACACCAGAGTACAATATACACACAAATGTCTATCCATACCAATCGCTACGCCATTTACAAATTTCGAGGAGAACTTCGAACCCAGAGGCATTCCATTGAAATTTCTGAAACTTATTATACATTGCATTATTATTTTGGCTATAAATGACTGGGAAATATTAAGTGAACGAAAATGTAATTATTAGATTATAAAGAGTTAATGAGGGACACAGCATTTTATTTAAGCACTGACTCACTCAATACAATAAAGGGATGAGACAGTTAGCCTGAGGTGAAGTTACAAGTGCCTAACTCTGATAGGAAGGGTAGGCAAGTGCTGTCAATGTGATGGGAATACATCCAACCGAGGAGGTCAAGCATCAGTCATGTTCGGATGTGGGAATACAGTGCCTATACTCTGAAAGGTAGGCAGTCTTGTTCTGGTGTGCCGAGATGTAAATGCTAGACTTGAAGAGGTAAGCACAGTGCTGTTCTGGTGAGTGGAATACAGTGCCTAATACCTCTGAAGAGGGTAAACATTACGTTCTGTGTGATTACTGCCTACCTGAAGGGGTAGGCATTGTGTACCTGGTGATGAGAAGTACAGTAGCCTTACCTGAGAGGGTAGCATGTTGCTGATTCTAGACTGTGGAAGTACAGTTGCATAACTTAGGAGGGTTAGGCTAGTTGTGACCTGGGGAAATACATGCTTATATCTGAAGGAGGAGGTAGACATGATTGCTGTTCTGAGGTGGGAAGTACAGATGCCTTATTGAAGGAGGTAGATGTTGCTGTTCTTGGATGGGAAGTACATGCCTATACTCTGAGGAGGTAGGCATGTTGCGTCCTGGTGGTGGGAATACAGTGCTATACCGAAGGGGGGTAGGCATGTTGCTGACCTGGGGTGGGAAGTACAGTGCCTATACTCTGAAGGAGGGGTAGGCATGTTGCTGTCTGGTGGTGGGAAGTACAGTGCCTATACTCTGAAGGAGGGGTAGGCATGTTGCTGTCCTGGTGGTGGGAAGTACAGTGCCTATACTCTGAAGGAGGGGTAGGCATGTTGCTGTCCTGGTGGTGGGAAGTACAGTGCCTATACTCTGAAGGAGGGGTAGGCATGTTGCTGTTCTGGTGGTGGGAAGTACAGTGCCTATACTCTGAAGGAGGGGTAGCAGTTGCTGTACCTGGGTGGGAAGTACAGTGCCTATACTCTGAAGGAGGGGTAGGCATGTTGCTGTCCTGGGGGTGGGAAGTACAGTGCCTATACTCTGAAGGAGGGGTAGGCATGTTGCTGTCCTGGTGGTGGGAAGTACAGTGCCTATACTCTGAAGGAGGGGTAGGCAAGTTGCTGACCTGGGGGTGGGAAGTACAGTGCCTATACTCTGAAGGAGGGGTAGGCATGTTGCTGTCCTGGTGGTGGGAAGTACAGTGCCTATACTCTGAAGGAGGGGTAGGCAAGTTGCTGTCCTGGTGGTGGGAAGTACAGTGCCTATACTCTGAAGGAGGGTAGAGCAGTTGCTGTACTGGTGAGGTGGGAAGTACAGTGCCTATACTCTGAAGGAGGGGTAGACATGTTGCTGTTCTTGAGGTGGGAAGTACAGTGCCTATACTCTGAAGGAGGGGTAGGCATGTTGCTGTTCTTGAGATGGGAAGTACAGTGCCTATACTCTGAAGGAGGGGTAGGCATGTTGCTGTCCTGGTGGTGGGAAGTACAGTGCCTATACTCTGAAGGAGGGGTAGGCATGTTGCTGACCTGGGGGTGGGAAGTACAGTGCCTATACTCTGAAGGAGGGGTAGGCATGTTGCTGTCCTGGTGGTGGGAAGTACAGTGCCTATACTCTGAAGGAGGGGTAGGCAAGTTGCTGACCTGGGGGTGGGAAGTACAGTGCCTATACTCTGAAGGAGGGGTAGGCATGTTGCTGTCCTGGTGGTGGGAAGTACAGTGCCTATACTCTGAAGGAGGGGTAGGCAAGTTGCTGTCCTGGTGGTGGGAAGTACAGTGCCTATACTCTGAAGGAGGGGTAGGCAAGTTGCTGACCTGGGGGTGGGAAGTACAGTGCCTATACTCTGAGGAACTGGTGGGCATGTTGCAGTTCAGAGTGTCATTTGAACTGTGATGCCTGAGCACTTCTGAGAAGACAGATACTGGCCAAACGATTGAGATTTTTTTTATTGAAGTTACACTATATCGATCGGAAACGGCTGATACAGTAATATGATAAATATATATATATATATATATATATATATTATATATATATATATATATATATATATAATATATATATATATTTTATGTATACCAACACTCTTATAGGGGTGTGAAGCTTGGGTGGTAAATGCAGCAGCGAGGAGACGGTTGGAGGCAGTGGAGATGTCCTGTCTAAGGGCAATGTGTGGTGTAAATATTATGCAGGAAATTTGGAGTGTGGAAATTAGGAAAAGGTGTGGAGTTAATAAAAGTATTAGTCAGAGGGCAGAAGAGGGGTTGTTGAGGTGGTTTGATCATTTAGAGAGAATGGATCAAAGTAGAATGACATGGAAAGCATATAAATCTATAGGGGAAGGAAGGCGAGGTAGGGGTCGTCCTCGAAAGGGTTGGAGAGAGGGGGTAAAGGAGGTTTTGCGGGCAAGGGGCTTGGACTTCCAGAAAGCGTGCGTGAGCGTGTTAGATAGGAGTGAATGGAGACGAATGGTACTTGGGACCTGACGATCTGTTGGAGTGTGAGCAGGGTAATATTTAGTGAAGGGATTCAGGGAAACCGGTTATTTTCATATAGTCGGACTTGAGTCCTGGAAATGGGAAGTACAATGCCTGCACTTTAAAGGAGGGGTTTGGGATATTGGCAGTTTGGAGGGATATGTTGTGTATCTTTATACGTATATGCTTCTAAACTGTTGTATTCTGAGCACCTCTGCAAAAACAGTGATTATGTGGAGTGTGGTGAAAGTGTTGAATGATGATGAAAACATTTTCTTTTTGGGGATTTTCTTTCTTTTTTGGGTCACCCTGCCTCGGTGGGAGACGGCCGACTTGTTGAAAAAAACAAATATATATATATATATATATATATATATAATATATATATATATATATATATATATATATATAATATAATATATAAAACACTGATCTCTGGCTGAAGGAGACTCAAACCTACGAACCTTGGAACAAGGTATGCAGTGCTTTACTAATCAACCCACACTGGACAATACCTTGGAGTCCAGCTTGCGCTAGACTTTGATCCAAGGCAGCCAGCTTTCAGGGAGAAGTCTTAAAGCTTTTCATCTCATCCCCTGCATGCATCAGCCTTACTAGAGATATTAACAATGCAAGGAATTCGCAAGAGCAGGCGAAATATACACAAACACTGATCTCTGGCGCAAGCTGGACTCCAAGGTATTGGTCCAGTGTGGGTAGATTGGTAAAGCACTGCGTACCTTGTTCCAAGGTTCGTAGGTTCGAGTCTCCTTCAGCCAGAGATCAGTGTTTGTGTATATTTCGCCTGCTCTTGCGAATTCCTTGCATATATATATATATATATATAATATATAATATATATATATATATAT